GAAGCAGTTGCAGTGGGAGCAGGAGGCTGAGGCTGTGAGTATACCCCTGCCACCCTGTCCTGCTGTCTCCCCCATATCCCCCATCCTGCCTGACACTTGTGCTGAAAGCTGGCATTCAATAGGTGCTCTTCAAAACCTGTTGAGGGATCTACTGTATTTCACTGTGACTCAGATTCTCGTTGTACCTGCTTTAGATGAAGAGTTCCCAGTTTTGTCAGGTCTTTTGTTTCTGTCTGCTAAACCTCTGTTCTTCCAAACTCTGTTCAGAGTAGGATTCTTTCTTTTAGAGAACAAATCTCTGTTAACAAACATTTTTCAATTAAAGAAGCACGGGCAGGAGCAAAGAAACCAGACTAACCTCTTAGTGTTTTTATTTTTTAATGAGTTAGGTCTATCTTTGACAGTTCGGAAAATGTCTAGGTCATTCAGAATGGCACTTACCTACCTGATTTTCAATTGGACTTTTCTTTTATACAGAATTATGCTGCTTTTGAAACATCCACTGTCTTTGTCACACTTATTCAAGAAGTAATTTTGTGTAGCGAGGAGTGAGTCTGATTACAGATACATAATTTCATCTGAGGCTAAAGAATGTAATGAACACAAATTCCAGATAGAGAAGAGCACTCCCAGCCTACCCCTGTGTGTCTCAGCTTTTCTGTATTTCCTGCAAGATGACAATAGCCACTTTGTAAAAAGCTCTTTCAGATATGAGGCAGAAGTATATACTTCAAGGTCTAGCCTTGAAACTTCTGTGGGATAGCAATGCTCTTCTGAAGTGCCATTTAAAACAGATTGCGTTTCACTACGTGCAAAAATCCCCCATATAGATGCAGCTATATGAGCAAAAAAAAAAGTGCTTTTGCCAGTATAGCCTATTTTATTTGGGAAACGCTTGCAGAAAAAGATGCTTGTGCTGGTAAAACTTGCATTTGCTAGTTATCAAAGGAGAAGCATTTCTAGTGCAAACCAGGCCTCTCGTATGTGAAGCTTTTATTCAGTTCAGCCATCAGTACAGTAGAGAAAATCCTACCTCAAAGGGATTAGTAAGGTTACCTAATAGATATTATTAATGGTTTAAGTGCATAAAAAGTGCTTTAGCTAAAGGTGAAGGGCTAGACCCTTCACTAATGTAAATTGTTCATGGTCCCACTGAGGGCATGGTGGAAACACAGTGCACTGAGGGAGCTTCCTTGTGCCATCGCCTCCTGCTCAGCTTCTAGCTCAGGGCTGCACTGAATGGCCTCTCCAAGAGTGACTTCTGCATCCTTACCCCTGAGAAAAATGTGTATAAGCAAATATCTAGGTTATAAAGGAAGAGTTGTATCTAGGAAGACCCTGTTTGGGCAGGGAGGTTGGATCTGATGACCCCACGGGTGGTCCCTTCCAACCTGACCCGTTCCACGATTCTGTAGCAGTCGGATGTCTCGGGAACATGCCGACTTACACTGCCTGAGGATCTCATTTACACTGCTTTCATTATACTAGTAGCTTTTTATAGGCATCAGATTCCAGTCATGAGACTTGATGATTCTACAGAAAATACCCTCCGACGCTGTACCTTCTCACAGCAGGGCTCCCTGGCTAATCGTGTGCTTGCCCGTCAAGCACAAATCCCAGCCATTTCCTTCCCAGTTTTCCCCTGCATTTAATGTATGGAAAAGCATGACCCTGAATCAGATGAATAGCAGCCGGTTTGAGAAGGTGTGTGTGAAAATGTATCCTCACGCAGATGAGCTCAGAACAAATAGAATGGAGGGGAGGAGGGGAAGAGAGCAGAGCCGGGGAATGTGAAGCTACCCTCTCCCTGATAGTTCAGCCACTATGTGTAAGCAACAAGTTTATGCCCAAGGGAAAGAACTGAAAGCTGAGGAAATCTTAAAATTAACAGAGCTTTATGGCTCAATCAATAGGCCATGCTCCCTGAGCAAGATTAGAAATCAGATGGCACATTTCTTTCTGTTAACCCTGTTTGCTCTCCCCGAAGGCTCTTCTGCCTGAAAGCATCTGAGGTTTGATTAAGTTCTTCTCTAGGAGGAAGCCAGAGAAAGTCCATTGTATGAGAACTGCCTCCAGAATGCTGTGTTGGACACACTTTAAATAACAATAGAGGTTATTAGAGTATTAGTTTGTTAGTAATTGTGAGAGAAGATAAGTCTTCCCAATATTTGAATATGCAAAATGGCTTTGGCTAACTGAGAAAGAGAGGGGGGGAAAAAGCAAAAACCAAAACATGCCACTACAGTGAGTAACGGATGATTAAAAATCCCCATATGTAAAAAAGAAAACCCCTACCTTGTTTTACTGCTAGAAATACCTTGCCAGATTTGTTATCCCCATCAACCCCTTATATTTTCCCTCTTTGGCATTTCATCTTCACTGGGGAAATGAAATAGTTTTTTCCAAAGGGAGATGGACTGTGTTAGCACCTATTTCTTGTTTGACAGTGACCTCTATGAACCAGTCATCACTGCTCTGCCTGTTGTTTTCTTGTTAGCTCTTTGCTGTCAAATTAATTACTGTGAAGTACTAAGCTTGTTGCATTCACGTGCTCTTATTAGCTCACAGGATGTCAGAGTGATTGGATTTTTAGCATTATTTCTTTTTTTACATTCCAGGCTTTCCATTCAAAACCTGTTACTGGCAGGGAGGAAATACTGTACCTAATTCTGATCTCTCATCAGGGTAGCTCCAGTGATGCTGAGGATTTACAAAGCTGTATATTCAATTAGACTTTGTTTATATTAAACCCAACATGAACAATTAGATTTGGATTGTAATGTGACTTTGAAGCACAGCATTAAATGTCCTTCCTTCTGCAGTATAGAAGAAGAAAGAAAGCATTTATGATGAGAATAACATTTGTCCCCTCCATTCTTAAATCACAGTAATAAGCTGATCCTCCACTTGACCCTCTTCACACTCCTGAGTTGCTTGTATTAGTGACATCTAACAGCCCTCACTCGAGTGCAGTCCAGGGATCAATGAGAAGTTTTATTATTTTCTTCTTCTACAAAATGAAACGAGCAGAAGGGACTTCTTTGCTGTCATGCTTGAAATTTGTGTGTCCTGCATCTGCCCTTGAAAAGCACCATCTGGCTCGGTGAAAGAACTGAAGGTCTTGAGAGTTGTCTTCATTCCTGAAGGTAGATTTTTCTTTGTTATTTAAAAAAAAAAAAAAAGGCCCCGCGCAGGTGAGCGCGACCCCGCGGGGGCCCGGCCCGGCCGGGGCGCGGAGCGGCCGCGGTGACGCCTCGGTGGTGACACCTCGGTGGTCACGCCCCGGTGCTGCCGGTGTGCGCCGGGCTTCTCCCCCCGCCCCCTCGGCCCCGGTCCCTGGCCGCTGGTCCCCGGGCAGGGCTTCTGGCGGGAGCCGGGCGGGAATCTCTCCTGACGCCCGCCGTGAGGGGTGTCACAGCCATCCCCTTTGCCTCGGTGCCCGCTCCCCCCACCCCCCGCCAAAGCGCTGCCCCGCGAAGGCGCGCAGGAAAACCCGGTCCCCGGGCGCGGGCAGGGCCGGCTGTGCTGCCGGCTCCCCGCCACGGCTGCGGGAGTGCAGCGGTCCCGTTATTTCCCCTCCCGGCTCCCCTCGGCCGCCGCCCCGGTCCCCCTCCCCCTGCTGCCTCCGCCAGGCTCCGCGTCCCTCCTGCCTCACGGAAAACACACACAGTCCCCGGCACCCGCCCCGGCTACCCGGCCCATTCAAACAAACAAACAGAAACCCGCCCCGTCGCAAAGCCAACCGACGGTAAACTTTCTAATGACTTCTTCTTTCAAGTGCTTAAGAGGCAAGGAGCACCGAAGGGGCCATCCATCTCCCGGCCAGGGCGGGAGGGGGCCCAGAGCTGCAGCCGCTCGGGGTCCGTCCGTCCGTCCGTCCTGCCGGACGATGGGACAGGGACGCGAGCCGGTGTGTGGTGGGTGTGTTTGCAGGAACCGGGAGGGAGGGAGGGGACGGGGGGAGTTAAAGAAACAGCATAGTTAATATTTCCACATCAGGAAGTTACTGTAATAGCCCAGGAGGCAAAAGACTTAACTTAATCTCCTAAATAGTGAGGAACCCATGGCGTCTCTGTTATAGGTTGGAGTTCCCACGTGGTTTTAACTCCTGTATAAAAGTTTCAGTAGAAAGTGCCACAATGTCGTGATTTTGCAGGGGGGAAAAATTAGCAGGAGGAGATCAGAGAAGATAAGCGAGGAGCAAGCAGCTTCCCCGAGACCTTTCACTGCGGATCCGAGAGGGAACATCAGACGCGTAAAAAAAGAAAAACAAAAAACAAAAACAAAAACCAAAAAAGCCAAACAAAACAAAAAACCCCAAACAAAACAAAACACAGCGTTCAAGCCAGCACAAGGCGAGCGAAAGATCAAAAAGACGCAGAGGGAGACAGATTAACTGGAGCAGCAGCAGCAACAACAACAAAAATCACACTTAAAATAATAACAATAATAATAATAAAACCCCAACCACCAACAAGGGAGATATTGTTTAAAAGAGCAAGCGAGGGAGCGAGCCGAAGAGCTGGTCTGACCGAGTGGATCCGTGCAGCTTCTCCTGGGATCGCCGGGATCGCGCCGCTTCTCCGCTCCGCGTCGCGCAGCGTGCGGTGCCCTGCCCGCGGTGGGGGTCCCCGGGCGCCGCCACCGCATCCGCGCCGGACTCCGGACCCTCCGCGCTGCTTTGAAAATAAAAGCATCTCGCTAATAATAAGCGGGACGGTGTGGGGAGAAGACTCGCAACAGTGGAGCTGCCAGCCGCGCACCCCCTGCCCGCCGCCCTTGGCTCCCTCCCCAGCTATGCTCCGGGTCAACTTTGATGGCACGTTGAGAAGCAGCGGGCGCTGAAGGGGACAACCGAGCGGCGCGGAGCCGACCTGCTCAGAGACCTGCACCCACGGATTGTCTTGCGGGGGCGGAGTGGGCGGGGGGGTACAAGTGGCATTTCTCCCCCCCCCCCTCCTTCCAGGCTATAAATTGGATTGTATATAAATCTGCTTCGTTTATCTCCCTGACCGCGTGCAGCCTCCCCCCTCCGCCTCCCCGGCGGCACACGCCGCTTCCCCGGGCGCCCCCTCCCTCCGCCGCGGCTCCCCCCCTGCGCGGAGCGGTTGCGGCCCCCCAGCTTGGCTGCCACCGCCCCCTCCGCGCCGCGGAGCGCTCGGAGCGGCGCTGCCTGCAGACGGGCTCCCTGCGGCGCTCCGGGGCGGCCCCCAGCTCGGCCCCCCGCTCCTCCGCCATGGACGGGGCGGCTCGCCGGGGGGTGCTGGCCGCGCTGCTGGCCTGCGGGCTGCTCCTGCTGGGCGCCGCGGCCACCCCGACCCCGCCGGCCCCCGCCGGCGGCTCCCCGCAGGACACATGCACCTCCTGCGGCTTCCGGCGGCCCGAGGAGCCGGGCAAGGTGGACGGGGATTTCCTGGAGGCGGTGAAGAGGCACATCCTGAGCCGGCTGCAGATGCGGGACCGGCCCAACATCACGCACGCCGTGCCCAAGGCGGCCATGGTCACGGCGCTGCGCAAGCTGCACGCCGGCAAGGTGCGGGAGGACGGCCGCGTGGAGATCCCCAGCCTGGACGGGCAGGCGAGCGCCGGGCCCCCGGCCCACGACCCGGTCTCCGAGATCATCAGCTTCGCCGAGACAGGTGGGCGCCGCCCGGCCGCGCGCCCCCGCCGCCCGCGCCCCCTGCCCGACCCGCCGCGGCCCCTGCCCTGCCGCGCTCCCCGCCTGTCCTGCCTCGCCCCGTCTGTCATTCCCCCTGCTGGACCCCTGTCAGTCCCCCTGCTTGACCTCTGTCAGTCTTCCCTCTGCCCTGCCTGTCCTCCTGCCCACCTTCTCTTTCCGCCTGCCTGACCCGTAGCAGTTCCCCGGCTGCCCTTGCCTGGCCCCCTGCGCGCCCTGCCTGTCCTCCCGCCTGTCCTTCTGCCTGGTACAGGCACCTGGCCGCCCAGCTCACCCGCTTGTCCTTCGCTCTCCCCTCTGCCCCGCACCGTCTCGCTCTGGCCCTGCCCGCGCTTTCCCGTCCTCCCTGCTTGTGCCCCTGTGCCCGGGATTCTCCCCGGGCTGCGCCTTGCAACTCCCTGCTTTTGTCCCTCCATCCCTCCGCAGCCTCTGTGCCCCCGGCTCCCCTCCGACCGTCCTTCCAGCTGCACCGGGGCTTGTCTCTATCCCTGCGTGTCCCACTGTCCCTCCTCTGCCTGTCCCGCTCCATCTCTTGCATCCCTTGCCTTGTCCGTCTGCCCTGCACATTCATCTGGTTCACTGCCTGCATCTGTCTGTCGAGGCTTGCATTTGCCCATCCTCTCTTTCGTTTGTTTTCCATTTATTTAGCTTTCATTTCAGTATTGGCCTTGTCTGTTTGTCCATTGCATGCAGTGTCCTACCAAGTGTGTCTGTCTCCTGTCTGTCTGTCAGTCCGTTTACTAACTGCCCTCCATCCCCACGGTACCAGCCATCTCAGTCCTGTCCAGCCATTGCAGTTATGTGTCACTGAATCCCTTCAGCACAGCTTTCCAGCAGTTTAACCACTGTCCCTGTGAACTTTGCACATCTGGCTGGAACACCATCACTCTGTGAATTACCTCTCTCCTGTCTATCTGCCCATCTCTCCTTTCCTTCATCACTCTATCGCTTGTTTCATTTTCCTCTCTCTATCTTCTTGTGGCATCTATATATCATTTGTCCACAAAATAAATCTCTTTCTATCCTGTATGCTGCCCACTCATCTTCTTTATCTACCCTCCCACTTACCAAAGGCATATACATTTACAGTATCTATGGGATCTGTTGCATTATACATATGCTTGTTATATTCACATACAAAATTTATGAGCGCACACAATCTCACACAACACAAGTGATGTGGATCGGTGCAGCAGCACCGTACTGTTCTTTTTCTGTCACTGTCACCACAGTTTAAGAAAAAGTTGTGTATTTACTAACATGTGAAAGGCTTTCTTAGTGTACATTTTGGGGGTTATTATTTTTTAATAGGATGTTGTTGGGAGATTGGGGGTGGGCTTGTACTTCCATTTGGTATTCAGTCAATCGCTGTCTTTTGTAACACTTCCAAAATTGACTTTATGTAAAACGTAGACAAACACAGTGAAAATTTTTGTCACTGAACTATTACAAGGTACTGAATGGGCTCTGGAGGCACATTTGAAAGGCATCTAGGGTAACAAATGAAGACACCGACTACGCAAAAAATCCCATTCAGAGATTGACAAAAATGCTAAAGATTCTTAGGGAAGGAAAAGGCAGAAAAAAATCTACATTTAGCTCTGTACAGACGGAAGCAAAACCGATAAGGGCAGATGAGAAAATGCCTTTCCAGCAATAATTTTAAATAGCGATTGGGATGCTTTGATTCAGGGACCAGAATTACGGTCTCCGCCATAAAGGCCGGCACATTTATCACCTACACCAAATTTAGTTCGGACTTACATTACAAAATTGCAGGAAGGCCGCTGGTATTTCTGAAATGTTTCATGCAGCAGGCTCTTCTGTTTACAAATAAGGGGTTATGTCAGACATTTGGTGACATTTGGTTTTCTGTGACAATTTCTCTCCTTTAATTCTGGTGTTGCAGAAAAGCGTATTGAGAACAGCCAATAACGGCGTTACAGCGGGAACAACCGCTCCATTGCCTTGCCTCGTATGGGAGCTCATCGTTCTGGGGAGAAAAGGCAGAGATCGAAAAGATTAATAATAGCTGATATTCTACCAGACTAAGTGGGGGTTAGCTTGATCTGTTGGACAAGCAGGCACATTACTGAAATATTTTCCGTTCTGTCTCGTGAATCCTCTCCTTTAAACCGCAGCGAGAATATGTGCAAATCGAAACAAAATCCCTGGTTTGGCATTGGCGTTTTAGTGGTTATTGAAAGAGCTCTCCCCATGAGAATTGGCAGGTAGCTGAAAGTTAAAACTATTCTTAAACTGATGAGATAGCAGAGTTCTAGTCCTAGTGCTGGTCTTTTTCAAGGTGCTGCTGTAGCATCTTTAAATCTGGCTTTCTGGAAAAAAACATATATTCTGTAAAACTCTTGCTGATGTCTGTGGATCTGACACATCCGAGTGCAGCCCGATGTTGAAGGCTGCTGTGGGAAGTCCCCTTTTCAATGAATTCTAATTGCAAATCGGGGATATCTGATGCAGTGCATGCCTTCTGACTGGCACAGCCCCGTCACTGTTCGCTCGATCTGCTGTGCTCTAGTGTTGTCCCTGAATCCAGAATGGCACACAAGCTAACATTTCCTTTTTGACTTAATCTTGCTGATCTCTCCTTATCTTGCAGACGATCTGGCCTCATCTAGAGTCCGCCTCTATTTCTTCATCTCAAATGAAGGGAACCAGAACTTGTTTGTCGTTCAAGCCAGCCTGTGGCTTTACTTGAAGCTGCTTCCATATGTCTTAGAGAAAGGCAGCAGGCGAAAAGTAAGAGTCAAAGTCTATTTCCAAGACCCGGACACTAGCAACAAGTGGAATGTGGTTGAAAAGAAAGTTGATCTCAAAAGAAGTGGTTGGCACACTTTTCCCATGACAGAGGCGATCCAGGCTCTGTTTGAGAGAGGAGAAAGGAGACTGAACTTGGATGTTCAATGTGAGGGCTGTGAAGAGTATTCAGTGCTGCCAATTTATGTGGACCCCGGGGAGGAATCCCACCGGCCTTTTTTAGTGGTGCAAGCCCGCCTCGCTGATAACAAACACAGGATCCGGAAAAGAGGCCTGGAGTGCGATGGCAGGACCAATCTATGTTGCAGGCAACAGTTTTACATTGACTTTAGACTCATTGGGTGGAATGACTGGATCATAGCACCATCAGGTTACTATGGGAATTACTGTGAAGGGAGCTGCCCGGCCTACTTGGCCGGTGTCCCGGGGTCGGCTTCCTCCTTTCACACCGCTGTCGTGAATCAGTACCGAATGCGGGGGCTGAACCCGGGCACCGTGAACTCCTGTTGCATTCCAACCAAACTTAGCACAATGTCAATGCTGTACTTTGATGATGAATACAACATTGTGAAAAGGGACGTTCCCAATATGATTGTGGAAGAATGTGGTTGTGCTTGATTTAAGGTGTGTTTTGGGGGGGGAGAGAGAGAGAGGGAGAGAGAGAGAGAAACATTCCCGTACAAGATGGTGTTGGAGGAAGTTTCACTGTGTATCCAGGCATCAGTGTTGGAAAGTCACTGTGGAAAAGTTTGACAAAAAAAAAAAAAAAGAAAAAAATAATCATTTCACTTTGGTGTCAGGACAGTGGCAGTTTGTGGATCATGGACACTTATATATTCTATCACTTATAAGTTAATGCTATGAAATATCTTAAAGACACACACACACACACGAGATGTGGGCACGCACACAAACACGCGCTCAGACACACAGACACACACAGACACACACACACGAGGCAGCTCAGAAAAGGGACATGAGCACAGAAAGTCAGTGACCAGTGACGATGGACCTAAATGCCTGCCAGTACGAGTGAACGGCTGAGCAGCTGTTTCCCCGCCTGCCGGCAAAGCCAGACCGAAATGAGCTCCCTTTGCTCAGGCAAAAGCACAGACTGTGAGAACACAACGTATTCTTGCACGCAGGTGTCAAAATGACCAAACTTAGAAAATTAAAAAAAAATAAAAAGGAAAAAAAAAAAGTTGACTGTCACCTCTTAGGTCTAACAGGAAGCTGCAGGACACCTGCCTTGGGAGGTGATCACTTCCTCTTAATTTAAATTTATCTGAACATAAACATCACAGATACCCACTTCTTGCTACAGCACTTCCAGCAAGGAATCCTGTGGTTCCATCGGGGGGAGAGAGAGAGAGAGAAAAGGGGGCAGACATGTAAGAAACTGCTGTATTTCTAACACCTGGCCGTTGCGGAGTCACAAGCTGGGCTGGCGTGATCCGATGCTTTTACTGCCCACTAGCAACCCATGGTTGGCTACACCCGCCGTGTCTTGGAAAAGGGAATCAATACCATATCTGGACTGTGTTAACTGTTGGCATCTCTCACTGTGCAAAGAACAAAAAGTCAAAAGTTGCAATCTGTGTTCTTCAGTGGGGGACTCGGCAAGGCTACGTCACGTGGGGGACGAGCAAACAAGCAGTGGCCACCACGGCTAAACCAATGAACCCTAAAGAGGAGTGACAGCAACAGAGTGGAGACGTTCTGGGAAATGCAGTGCATTTAATAACAGGCGAGGAACATTTTTACAAGTCTTGGAAAGGAGGAGAGAGGAGAGTGCTTTCAATTTCCTTACCAGGAGGTGTCAAGGATGGCCATAAAGATCAGAAAATAATGATACAGCATAGCACTTGCAAACTGCTTGAATGCACGTATAATAGCACTTGCAAATTTCAATGCCTTGAAAAGTGGTACTTGATAGTGCACTTATCTTTGCTCACTATCTAGGTAAACAGGTGCCGCATGAGCTATGCAATTTAAAGTGTTGACCCATACTAGACAAAACTGGACTTATGATATGACTTTTTTATATTTTTTTATACTTGAAATTAAATCTTTTGCTTCTTTTTTAAAGCGAATGATTGCTTTTAATGTTTGCACTGATTTAGTTGCATGATTAGTCAAAAACTGCCATTTGAAAAAAAATGTTATTTTTATAGCAGCAAAAAATGAATACAGTTAAATGTATTATACAGAAATTTTGGAACCAAAGAGGCCAACATATTAGTTATAATTTTTATGAGATGGCAAAGCCATCATATATCATGTAGTCATACTGAGCAATCCCTCACGAGGCCTACCAATTGTTTCAGGGTACAAAATGGATTCTGTTTGTTCTATTCAGTGTCTTTTCTATACCATACGCACATGGAATGTAGAGTGAAAAAAAAGTGACTATTGTAGAATACATTACAATATGTGCATCCTTTAAATCCAATTTTTATGTTTATTTAATAAAGTTCCTTTTAGGTTCTGTTCCATAATAATTTAAACCAAACAATTTTCACTTAGATTTGCTGTTGAAGTATTTTACATTTGTGTACAGTTTAAATAAATAAAAAAGATTGAAAACTGGATGTACTTTTTTCTTTTTTTTTTTTTTTTTTTCAGTGTGTAACATCTGGAGGAACTTGCTTACTTTCGGGACTGAATAGGCTGCAGACGGTGAACTGTCGCATTAGACCGTAGTCGTATTAGTCATTGCAGAAAGCCTTGTCTGAGAGCTCAGCTGCGATCCTAAAAATGTTACACTCCAGTTTTATTGCTGTCTATACATGTAAGCATCTGCTTCTTTCTCTCTGCAGCAGTGCAGGGGCTCTGGGCGCAGGAACGGCGCTGTTCCGCATACCTGCAGGTCATTTACAGCAAGTTCCTGGTTCACCTGCTGTGTAAGAATGTAACTTCTTCTCTGGGTCACTCCCTGACTGCTCAGAAGAAGTAAAAAAAAAAAAAAAATTATATGTGGAAAGCACTTCCAGGAATAAAGGACCAATAGTAAGTTTGATTAATTTTTTTTTTCCAAAACTAGCTGACACTAAGAAAAGTTTTTTTTTTTTTTATTTTTAGTAAAATATTTCCCTTTTACTAACAAGCCCTCAAAAATGTTGAGAAATACTTAAGTACTCAGGTGCACTTATATCCAGATATTGATTTAACTGATTTTCACAGGTAAATTCTTCCTCCTAGAGACCTGAGCAAATGCCAGCTGAAGCTGACAGAAGGACCTCTGTTGACTTAGCAAATGTTAGATCTGACCCTGAAACCCGAAAAGTGTTGAAGAAGCAAGATCATGCAACTAATGATGGGTTCTAGTTACAATTCACATTCAGGTGTAGCTCTGCCCAGCTCTCCTCACAGCCAGGCTTAAACAGGAGACCTGCAAGAGTAATTTGCTGTGGCTGTGTCAACAATCTGCTTCTCAGAACTTTGTCCTCCAGATCAAATTTTTTGAATATCTCACAGCTTTCTCACCACCTAGAGCTGCACATTGATTGTCAAAGCCACTAACCACTCACTGTTGCTGCTCCACCTCTCAGCAGCCTTCTCTCTGGTTTTCATTCTGTGGGTCAACTGGGCTACTGATGAGTTCAATAAATTCTCCTTGAAATTGGTGGCCAATACACCCCCCCCCTTCACTCTGAAGGCATGTTTGCTCTAATATGACGCTGTCATTATAAATGAGATTGGGCAGCCCCTTAAAAAATGGGATATATTAAGAAATCTTGCCCATTGAAATGCAAGGCCCTGGAGGCTGGCTCCAGTTAGGTTTCATTCTTAATTGAAAGGGTTTGGTTCCTGGGGTCAAAGCCAAACCCTGCATGGGACACTGGGACTGCTGTGCTCAGGAGGAGACCAGGGTGTCTCGGCGAGGGGTTTGGACCTGCAGCCCCGGGGAACAGGGAGCTGCTGGCAGCCAGGATGCTTTGAGCCTGGGCTGGCCAGGAGCGAGGGGCAGGAACTGTGCTCTGCATCCTGCTGCAAACCCACAAGCGAGCTTGGGATCCTGAACCCTTTCACACAGGCCATCAAAAAGCACCCCTTTTCTTGGTATAAAAGTCTTTCCCAGCTTTCTTCCCCTATCCCTGCCTTCTCTGCTTCCCGATTTGTAGCTAGAGTCATGGTGTTTATGGGACAGAAACAAGTGCAAGGAAGAGCATAAATATCAGGATAGTGTGAGGGGCATCATCTGGGAGTGGGAAGAGCTGGATCATTGTCCAGGCTCCCAGGTCCTTTTATTTTGTGTGAGACTCTAGAAATCGATGTGAACTGAACATGCTTGGAGTTTTCTGCAGCATGGAGTCACTTGCTGCTCTGGGCAGCTCTGCTGCTCTGCTCTCTGCTACAGACAGTGAGGTGTTCTTGTATCCTGGTGCTGACAGCAACCTGTCACACAGATTTCTGAGGCTAAAATGAAATTAAATAGTCTTTAATTTTGTGGGACCAATCTGAGACAGTTTGGGCTTGATTTTTCAGAGATGTGACAAAGCTACTGCTCTTGCCAGCTTTTTACAGGGGAGTGCAGGAATTCTGCTTTGTGCAGCTTCCTGCATTTTTGAAATCGGGCAAAATGAAAAATGAGATGGCCAAGCCTGATGGCTGCTTCTCAAAAATGTTGGGGTGTTCCCATCTGTCATTCCCATCCTTATAAAACCGAGCATCCAGTTTCATTGCTTTATGCCAGGTTAGGTATTCTACCTCAAAAACCAGTGGGTCCTATCCATACCACCCCACCCAAAGGTGACTTGGTGACTCTCTCTTGTCTTTGATAGGCTTTGAACTCGATTCTGTAAGTGCTAAATCAGTGTCTTCTGTCATGTGACAGAATCAATCTCTGGAGCTGGAGAATCTTCACCCTTTAAAACATTCTAACACAGGCAAAACCCCATCCTGGACCTCCCACTGCTGTTAGTGGGGACGGTGTGAACAGGGTGACTGTCACAATGTGGTGCAACAGAGCACTTGTCGGATTAACTCTGCATACATCATGTATTTCCACACATAATAGACACCTGCTCCAAAATTGCCAGCTCTCACCTTCTTTGCTTTGTCACTTGTGAGAGATGAACTCAGCAGCTGAAAATTAACTGCTGCACTTGCCCTGCCACCAGAGAAGAGGGAACCCCCCCCCACTGAACGCATCCTTCATAAGGATAATTTTTGTATGGAGTGGTTTCTACTGGGAAGGGTGGGAAAACATTTTGCAAAATGGATCAGAAATACAAATTTCTGTCAAAGAGGGGAGTCTGTTTCTGTTAATGCTGATGTCAGTCTACAGTAACTCCTCTAAAGTCTGCAGATGTAATTCAGGCTAGCACCAATATGAGTAAAGACACACCTGAATCCGGTTTTCTGGAATTCCTGATTGGGCCCAGCTGATTCTCAGTTCTCAGTATTTCTAAAAGAAGTAATTTTTCCTTTAGAATCAGCAGCTAAAAGTTTTAGCAGAACCCACACATGCTGGGTGACAGATCAGAACAAGAGTAGAAGACATCTAACTTTGTCATGAATCTCCCTACATACACTGGAATTTGGCCAGGAATTAGCAGTCTGCATCAGTAAAAAATGTCCCAGTAGCTTTCATTTGCTTGCCCAGTCAGTAACCTTGAACTAAAAGCTGGATTTACATGCCTGCTCGTAACAGTAGGGGCCAATTTTATTTGGGTAACTTCATTGATTTCAAGGGAATTGTTTCTGATTTGTACTAGAATAAGTGGGAGCAGATTTAGGTTCTTTAATGTTCTTCCAGTTTAGCTCTTGGAATAACTTATATTTCATTATTATGTGTTTATGTAATTAGTGCAATTATATCAAATTATATAATTGGTACAATTACTTGGACTCATGTAACCACTGCATATAGCATTCCATGCTGTAAAATCTTTTACACTGGGGAAAAAAAAAAGAAAAAAAAAAGTAGTCAATATTACATGGGAATCTTAATTTGTTTTTAAATTCCAGTATCAAATTTAGGGCCTGACCACATGCAAGGAACTTCTGGTTCACATCAGTGGAATCTCTGAGCAGGCAGCTTGCAGCCTTCACCATAGATATTGCGTTTTTAATCTGATTTGGCCAATTCTATTCAACAGAGGCCCTCCTGGAATGTGTGCAGCTCTAACCAGCCTTCCCTGTACAAAGCAGAGACGTCAAGCT